GGCTGGGGTCAGGGGACATGGGGCCTCAAGGATACCGCAGGAAGTAGCCACATCGGGGATGGCGGCCTCACTGCTACTGGGGGCACTGCCCTCTCTCCGTGTTCCCGGGAGCTCCAGCCTGGGTGCCATGAATGGAATCAGCCTGGCACGGCAAGAAGAGCTCTGGGCCATGACACAGATCTGAGGCCATACCCCGGCTCTGCCTGGGACTCCTTGGTGACTTTGAGAATGTCACCAAACCTGAGTCTGTCTCCTTTTCTGCGAAATGGGGTCAGGAGACAACCTATCTCAGAGCCGTTGGGAAGAGAATTGAAATGCTTGGTGTTCAGTCCTGTGCCACGCAGAGAGACAATACTCAACCAGTGGGCTCTGCTGTGACTCATACAGTCCGCCAGGCCGAGTTGTAGCAGGGCCTGTTTGCGGGGGCCCTGGGGACACAGCAGACTAAGAGCTGACCCTTCCTCGTCAGCCCTGGGCCTGCTGGGGTTTGCGGAAGCTCTCATGTCCCTGGCCCTTGGGGCTGACCAGGGTCCCTGCTGGGTTGCAGTTATTTGAAAGGGAACCAACCAAGAGGCTGGGAGTAACAGGAAACATCAGAATCCACCCCTTCTTCAAGACCATCAACTGGGCTCTGCTGGAGAAGCAGAAGGTGGAGCCACCCTTCAAGCCGAAAGTGGTATGTGACTCCCACCCTGCTGCCTCCCCGTGGGCTCCTTCTGGGCGCCCACCTCTCCTACTCTCCTATACTCATTCCTCTCCCTCCTTCCGTGCATCTCTGTCACCCACGGCATGTTTAGTCTGTCTCTGGCCTTGTCTTCTCATTCTTCTCATGCAGTCAGTCGTTCAGCAAACATCAGAAACTGTGGATTGCCCCCTCCCCTATTTTTTGGTAGAGAAATTTTTGCTATAATGCGCATGCGCTTGCTGGAGAGAAAGAAGGTGAGAAATTACCCCTAGGAGGGATGGCCATGCCACAGTCCCTTCTCCTCCATTCTCCTCTCAGAACCTGGGTGTGCATGCACATGCGCGTGGTGTGAGTTTCAAACCACCGGGTCCGGGACTTGACCATGGTTGACTATGTGGGAGTCCAGTAACTGTTACACTATCTACTGGTCCCCCCCTTTTTTTAAGTTTGCTAATGAGTGCATGCGCTCACCAGAGGGAGTTGGGCATGGAGGAAGGAGGGTGGTCACGATACAATCCTTTCTCCTCCATTTTCTTCTCAGGATTTTGGGCACACATGCACTCGTGCCTGGCACCTTTTCAAGCTGCCAGGTTCTGGGACTCAAACCACAGTCATGTGAGATCCAGCATCTTAACCACCACGCCACCAGCCACCTCCAGCCACCTTTTAACATATAAGGGGCTGTGGGAATCACTTCCTCTCTCCACCCACTCACCCATCCATCCATCTATCCACCCATCCCTTCCTTTTCCAATAAATCTTGGAAATGCTGAATCTTGGGGACAGAGTGCTGGGCTGGGCTGCATAGCAAAGGGATCGGCATAGTCTCAGTGCTGGAAGAGCCTCCAGCTAGTCAGAGATCGGAAACTTGCACAGTGTGGCTCGTTTTTGATACGAGAGTCCGAGCGAGGTTACAACACACATGCGGTCAGCTGCTCCTGGGAGTGTCCATCAGCAGGAGCCCAGGATGCAGAGAACAGGCATCGGAGGAGGTCAGGCCAGGCAGAGGACACCTGGGAGGCCCTGCAGGTGGAGAAGGGATGCTTTGCACAGAGGCTCAGATCCGCAAGGGCCACGAAGGGCCGGGCATGAGAGCAGAGGCAGGTTGGGGTCACTATTGGGATTCTGGCCTCTGTGGTCACAGTTGTTCCCTCCCATTTCCTTCCTGTCGTTTGTGTCCCCTCCTGGCCAGGCCACACTGTCCTGGGCAATGTGTCCCATGTGCTTTTGTGCCACAGAGGACTTCCCTGCACCCCAGACTGCAAATTCAGATGCCTCCTGGGCTGGGCATGCCTGTAAGTTAGGCCAGCTGTAAGAAAACCACACAGTGGGGACCAGCAGTTGGCGTAATGGCTATGTCGCTGGACTCCCATGTAGTTGACAGGGATTCGAGTCCCAGACCCAGTGGCTTAAACTCATGCTGGGTATATGTGCGTGTGTACCCAAGATCCTGAGAGGAGAATGGAGGAGAAGGGATTGCGGTGTGGCCATCCCCCCCAGGGGATGATTTCTTACTTTCTGTTACTCTGTCTCTCTGTCTTTCTGGTGAGTGCACGTGCCCTACAGCAAAAACCTTTCCAAAAAATTAAAAAAAAAAAAAAAGAAAGAAAGAAAACCACACAGGACCAGCCACATGGTGTAGAGGTTAAAGAAACTGGGTCCCACGTGGCCAACTGTGCGGTTCGAATCCCAGCCTTGGAAAACACACTGGGTGTGTGTGCACATGTGCCCCAAATCCCAACAGGATGGAGAAATGGTGGAGAAAGGACTGTGGCATGACCATGTCCCGATGGGGGGTGCTCCCTATCCCTCCCACTCTGTCTCTCTGGCAAATGCATGCACCCTCTGGCAAATATGTAAAATAGAGGAAAAAAGAAAGCCACACAGCCCGCTTTCAGCCTCTCACTTATTTTTTTTAAAGTATTATTTTATTTCTCTTTCTTTCCTTCCTTCCTTCCTTCCTTCCTTCCTTCCTTCCTTCCTTCCTTTCT